TTAGAAAGAAACAAACCAGACATTCTGATTGGTCAGAATGATTGGTCAATGTCAATGTCAAGGTCAATGTCAAGGTCAAAGTCAAGGTCAATGTCACTTGCAGGGTTTGAATAAATTATTTTTGCACCTGATACGCGCGCTTTTCTTCTGCGTAGTTATGAGAAGCTACCTCGTATTTTTTCATGTCTATTATTAATAGATAATCAAATGATTTTCTCATGCGATTTGGAAAATAAAAGCACTTGTAAATTTTTTCAAAGACCACAAACTGCACTCCCCCTACGGGCTCATGTAATTTTGTTGGTCTTTGAAAAAATTTACTCGTGCTTATTTATTCCAAATTGCACTCGAAATCATTTGATCACCTATACAAATTGCACTCCACTCAGTTCAATTACCATTGTAAATTGCAGGCGAAAACCGATATCGCGATGAGTGCGATAGCGGTTTTCAAGTGCAATTTAATGCGGAATTCATGAGTGAAGTAATGGATTTTCCTTGAATCGCATAACTGAATTTAAATGAGAAAAAAAGGAAACAGTATAAATTAAAATTGTTTACGTAGATGCGAAACAATATCATATAGCTTCGTTTTCAACTCGCAGTTCCACGCTTAATACCTCGCTTAGTTAACCAATCAGAATGCGAGATTTTATTCAAAGATGCGATTCTATTTAAAATCCCAGCAGCAATTAAATCTTGTTCTACACATAGTTTCAAGGTTTCGCAGTCGATATGCAAACGCATCATGAACTGACAGTTGAGTTATAAAATTGGACACACTTCACATGTGGGAATAGATAATGATAGAAGTTCAACATGTTTAAAACGCTAGATGCGACTATTTAGATGTTCAGGCTGTTGGGAAGCTTAAACGCGACCGCATCTAGAGGGTTTGATCGTGATATCGAAATATTATTTCAAAAATAAAGTGATAAAAAAACTAAGCCTTTTGGTATCACAAATTCTAAGTTGAGTCAACAGCATGAAAAAAGACCAATTACCGAATCTCTGAAAAAAGCCTGGCCATAATTTCCATGTCAGTACGTGCTTGAGTATGGCTTTGGGTGAGCATGGAACACCTCCTTGTTGCTTTGGCCAACTCCTTTTCAGCATTAGAGTAAGGAGATCGCCGCATTTCGAGGCTTGAGAGGACCGAAGCCCATCAGAAAGGTTCCTGAAAATATCTTCCCCCTCGCTTCCTCTCTAAATTACAGAATAAAACGTATGCTTCTCAGTAATATCAACCACAAGGAAGAAGCTGACCTAAAATTGAGCCAAATACTTTATCACATGGTATTTCAAAAACTGTCATCACCGTCAATTGATTTTTCTCCATACCTGAAGCATACTTTCAACCTTCCGGAAGGTTACTTCAGAAACCAAGTCTTGAACATGGTTGTGTTGGCTCACCACGTTAGCTTTGGTTAAAATTTCAACCAAATCATTACAATCACGCTACGAACAAATAAAAGGCGTTCAGTGTCAATTTGTCTCAATAAAGTATTGTGATCTATTGGAAGACAGACGAATAGATGACGTCACCATTAACAATTTTTTTCCCTCTGCATTATAAAAAATGATTAGGTTCCACGTTACCGCGGGTGTACAGCACTGAGCCACATAAGATGTAAAAATGTCGTGAGAGCATCAGTGACACCCGCTACGCCTCGTATGTCACTTGCCCTTACCACGAGAGGCTGACTGAACACAAACGAGTAATGACAAATGATTACGTCAACATTCGAATTCATCGACTTGCGAACCACGCGCAATGCTAAGATACAGCAGTAAGTACCTACGATGAGTGACTTTGGAAAGTTCGTTCACCTACTTAGAAGAGACTTCCCTCAACAATTTTCAACGATCACCGTCACTGTTAAAATGACTTAATCACGCTAAGTACCCAACAAACGAACCAAAGAGAACGACGTTATTGCCGACGGATCGGAAATGACTTATCATGACTGGCTTAAGCCACTAGAGTCTAGGGTTGTCGAAAATTTCCGTCATTACCACAAACAACTTGCTAAGACTACTCTCACTCGGACTTCCAGATTCGCGATCGGGTATAACCCCTCGATTCAACTACTTACTGAACAACCAAGCATTGTGCAATCTTCCTAAACAACTACATCGAAAGAATTCTTAAAAAAATGCACTGAATCAGTCAAACGGCTATAAAAGGTAAGGTAGAATAAAACTCATGTCTCCTTGCCAGTTCCAATCGCGTCTTCAATTTTGCAGACACACGGTCTCTCCAAATCTCTGCACACTCTTTGTTTGCCCACTCAAAACGCAGCAACTTCGTCCAAATCTAGGAAATGCAAAAATTGTAAGTACTCAATTCCGTCGACATCATCCGTAATATGTGTGGTTTCCAAAGACAATTGATATCAATACTATGCTTACAATCTCGTTGTAGAAAGTTAGGACCTTTGATTCACTCTTTGTTTGCGCTACTTTACCATAGAGCAAACTAAAGATATAAAGGATATCAATAAAAGGGCATAGGATAAGATCGACAGGGCGCCTATTTAAATAAATATTTTATGTCTCTAAAATCAAACTTAAGAAAAAACATAAGGACACTTCCTAGAAATGAAGGCCGACTGAAGGTTTTGAGAGACATTTCCTTATTTTTCCTATGATAAGGTGATTTGAAATGTGAAAGTACGTTACACAAATATAGAAAGAACTTATGTATTGAAGAAGTAAAAGTAAAATACAGAAATTAAAGGAAGAAAAAACACGCTGCGCTCATTAAAAAAAGATAAAACAGCAATTATTACGAGGAGCTCGCCTAAGCCCCTCCCCAAGTTATGTACTCGATTATGCACAGAACAGGATGCTTAATGCAATACGAGGAATGACCTCACTTAGGCACTGTTTACACGGACGCGGTTTCATTTGTAACCGTATCGGTTTCGATGTGGTTACGCCTTTCGTTTACACAGCGCCAGTCGAGTTCGTTATCAGAACCAAATCGTTCTGATAACGATTTCAAAAGTGGAGCGTTTTCAAAACGATACGGTTTCATTGGTCGTATAAACGAAAGGCGTAACCGCATCGAAATCGATGCGGTTAGAAATTAAACCGCGTCCGTGTAAACGGTACATTAATTACCTCCAACTCTTTGTTTGTCTCAGCTATATCATAGCAAGGAATTATACTCGTAAGCGTTTTATTCAACCATTTTTTTACAACTTCAAAACTGTCAACCACAACTCCCGTAATGTCTTTTGTCTTGTGTTTCTCTCCCTGCTCAGTACTCCTGCATAATACGGAGATCCAGATTTCGATGCTATGCAAACAGACACATAACAGATTAAAATCACAGTTAGAAGATACAGCTGCCAGAATCTGTAAGCAAGACAATACAGAGAGACTGGCTTCTTGCTTCGACTTGGCTTGATCATCACTGGCAGTGGATCTAATCGAAAGGTAAGAAGGAAAACATCATTGAGAAAAAATTCAGTACAGGAAGCCTGCACGAATGGTACATTTTCTGATAACACAAGGAAAGAAGGGAAAGATACACCAAAGAAATCGATCTGGTTGACTGATCAAAGGTATAAAAAGGGTAAGTTTCTAAAGAAACTATGGTGCTGCGTCGGTGGGGGTAACAAAGTAATTTGGTAATATCAACTAAGTTGAAATTGTAAATTGACCACCGTAAAGAGTAAAAAGCTGACGTTTCGAACGTTAGCCCCTCGTCAGAGCGAAATGCCCTTCGTCATTTCGCTCTGACGAAGGACAAACGCTCGAAACGTCAGCTTATTACTATTTACGGTGGCGGCTAATTTACAATTTCAACTTAGCTGATATTACCAAATGATCACAGGTATGTTACAGACTAAAATTACATCAGCTTTTGCATAAAGTATATAATCATCACAAATGTAAGCAAAAGCAGTTTTAGAATCGTGTCAAAATAAAAAGATTGGCTTAATTCCGAAAAAAAGGTCATCACAAGGCGAAATACGCAAGTTTCAACCTTTCAAACGCTCTAGTGAAAGAAATCATGGTAACTACAAAGGAAGAAGTTATACTCTACATCGGGTATTCAGGTACATTCGTTTTCCTCGTTGCCATGTTCCCACCAATAACGTAGCTCCATTCTCTGCCTTTAAAAGCACACACAACCCACAATTCCTCTATTCGCTCCAACGAAGGGCTAACGCTCGAAACGTCAGCTTTTGTAATCGTTACGGTGGCCAATTTACCACTTCAACTTTGTTGATATATCCAAATTATTACATTTGATGACGACGGGTTGCTAATCCCAATAAGCCGGAAAGTCACGATATGGCCCATTACTGAGTGGGATTGGGGATAATTGGGGATAATTGGGACATACATGGAACAAATTTGATAATGAGATGTGGTCTCTTACGGTTTTGTCTTGATGTCAGAAGTTGTCTTGACACTCTTCTCAATCATTTTCAAGCTGAACGCAACCGCATTCCTCTAGATATAAAAAAAAATCAACAGAATTGTGAAATTAACAACTCAATTGTCATAAAGGAGTACTATGCTACTACAACCATAAAAATATTTTCTCTTCCATAAAAAAGTAATAACGAAGTTATAACACAGACCAATCAACTTGACTGTTTGAAAAATATCTTCAAATCTGCTAAAAGCTCGACTATGTAAATTGCATGCCTGTCATGTCATTAATTATTACACGACTCGGGCAGTCAGAGGGCCAATAACTAAAATCAACCGATCAAAATGCTCTATTGCCGGTCAATATTCTCTCAGTATTGGACCGGGCACTGTCCCGAATAGTCCCGAATGATACTGAACTCGTGTCCCTTTGAACTTCAGTCGTATAATACATCTCTTATTAACCAAGCTTGCTCGGGACCGTACTGGAAGAATATCGGCCCTCGGTCTTTTTTGTACGGACCTCGCTGCGCACGGTCCGTACTGTCAAGAAGTCTGGCCGATACTCTCCCAGTACGGTCCTCGCGCTTGGTTAATAAGATATATGTATTACTCCCCTTCTGTCCATAGTCTGTTTGCACAATTAGGAGTTAATTGAAAACGCATTGCTGGAATGTTGTTCTTTTTTTCCTTTAAGTATCTATGAAGTAGACTTGCTTCAGATACGTATTGAATCGGTGTCGTTGTAGTGAGGAAACAATTTCAAAAGTTAGTTTGCAACTTACGTCTTCCAAGATGGTAATATAACAAGAAAAAGAAAACCAAACCAAGGTTCTTAATTAAATTAATTTGTACTTTTGAAATGCAAAGGTTTCGCATTTTTCTTAGTAATTAAGGTCAAGACAAGCAGTTTAAGAGAATTGTACAACACCGGTATACATATGTACCTCTTCTTCATTTAGGTATGTTTTCTCTGACAAAATTCTTGCTAGGGTGGTACAGATCTCAAATGGTGCAAACATTTCAGAGGACGCTACTCTCCCAAATTCACTACAAGGAACCACAAGGAGAAAAGTCCTTCTGAACAGAGGATCCAGTGTAAACAGAGGACTCAGTAAATCTATCCACTTTGAGGGGCACCTGAGACAATTAAAAAGAGAAGTAACAGAAAAAAACCTGTATCAATACTTATTTAGACAAGTATAATAAAAGGAATGACACATTTTAAGGTCTACTTTTCCAATACACTGCTGTTATGACCAGTCTCATCTATCTTTGAAGATTTAAGTCCTCAAAGACACATCGAAAAACAAAAAATTTTGATCACTGTATGAAAACTCATACGCAGGGAAATCTTACTTAAACTTTACAAAGCGTATAATTTACCCATTTTTATTATTGGTCTTCTTTCTGGCATTTTTGTGGATCGCGCGATGCTGATAAGCTTGACTGAGCACTTAATAAAATAATACTTAGATCTATACTTGGATATTACTTGTCTCCATACACCACTCTTCTTTCAAAAGTCAACTCTGCTTCGTTGTGTAACAAACGAGTTCAGAATTTCCTCATACTGCTATATAAGAGTTTGTTTTTCACCAATTTTCCTGTTTATACGAAGAATATGTTTTTCACTCCGGCCCTCTTCCTATAATCTTCGGAGCAACTACATTCTTTCACTTAGTAAACCTAAAACAACTACCTATGGCCTTAACTCCTTTTCTTACTTTTCAGCTAAGCAGTGGAATGCACTACCAAACTTAATTCGTACTAGTTTCTTTGCCCACTTTAAAACCAAATTACAGGATGTTAGCTTCGTGTACTTAAACTTAAGATTGACAATTTGTAAATAATATTTTCTTTTCTTTACTTTTATGTATTTATTATTATCATTATTACCATTATTTTGTATATATATATATTTATATATTACTTTTTTAATGTAATCTTAGCTCGAAAATATTAGCTCGTTAGCTTCTCTAAAATTCGAGTATAAATAAAGTTTGTGTATGTATGTATGTCAACTTCTCCAATTAAATTGCGAACGAAAAACTGTTAAAAACACTTCAATTGACGAAAACCGACACAGTTTTTAAAGACTCTAACTTTACTTTACTGGCTTGCTTACTTGTTCATTACAATTAGGTACAACTTTAAAATTACATCGTGCTGCTTGACGTTTCGTTTCTACAAATTAGAACCGCAGCAGCCACAGAAGTACAGCCCAAGGGACGATCATATCCCGAGAAAGTCCACAATGATCATCTCTCGTCCGCAAGTCGAACGAAAACGTTACTCTTCGATAAAAAAGGATGAAAATACCTGTCCCCTGTAAAAGACCTTTCTCTCACAGCTTTTGTTTCAAATCCATTAGCTCCCCACCATGTGTCATCTTTTTCCTTAGGTTTCTCCATGAGTAATACAGAGCTGTCAAAAGGTGCACATTCTTGAATAAGAAAATGGACCAGAGGTACAGCAAACAACCAGTCATGGAGATCACGATGAGTCTTGCTCACATGTCTGCAAATGGCTTGAATGGCTTCACCGATATTCCTACACACAAAAAAAAAAAAAGAAAAGAAAAGAAAACGTCCTTATTACTGTTTGGCATATTCGTCGTTGATGTCACATCATCTCTGGTAGAGATGCATGCAGAAAAAATATATGCCTTAATATAGAAAATTTTCAAGTAAGAAAACCCAACATGATGGAAAGTCTACATTCCATTAGTTCCGCATCCCATACAGTTTTTTTTGAAGAAAATTAAATCAAGCTCAACGGCACTTACTGATAATGTTCACTGGGAAAGTGTTTGAGAAGCCTGTCAAATTCTGAACAAGTTCTTTCTTTTAGCTCAGCGTGAAGAGACAAAGAGGAGAACAGCTTCTCGTATTCTTCAGGATTTAAAGGGACTTTTTGTTCAAAAATAAGGTAAGAAATTGCTGTTGATGATACCAGGGGGGAAATTCTCTTCGTGTCTTCTGTTGTTGATTTACATGCAGCGTTCTTTTCAATCTTCTCAATTAAAAAGTCCCTCAAAATCTAGAATGTAAAAAAGCCAAGTAAAATACCGTTAATCGACTTATCCTCTACCGTAAATATCAAGAATCAATGTTATTATCCAAATGTCCTTCGTAAAGTACAAATAACGCGCGAGACGAGTACAAATATCACGCGATATTTGTACTCCAGAAATATCCGCGAAATTCGCCTGCACCGAAATACTAATTGTCTGTATTTTGACTCACCCTACGGGCTTGTCAAAATACGGCACAACAAGTAAACGTCTAATAATATATATATATTCTAATACTAAGTTTTATATAAACTTCCAAAAAACATTTCCCGAATAAGTCTAAGACTTCGGAGACTACAAGAAGGATCCCTCAATGAGCCCGACACTGACCTAAGAGAATTAGCCGAGCAAAATGTCGAATATCGAGACAAGAAAAATAAGACAAAACAACACAAATAACTTCGTAGAATATTATAACAACGGCTAGTCCGAGGTTTGACATTTCCCACAACAGCCAAACGAAGGAGGTCAATGAGCAGCTTATTTTGGCTAACAAACAGCTATTTCTTTTAATGAAAGTTTTGTCTCGAAACCTTCACCGTGTGCAATGGCGGTAAGACGTGTTCCGAGCCTGTCCGTAATTATATTAAGTTTTTCGCTGTTTGCTTTGTTCTCTGTCAACTTATACTCTCTCAAGCTCTCGAAGAATGCTCAAGTGTATTACGGGGATAAATTCTTCAAGTATTTCAACTCATACCCGGTCGATTTCAATCTAATTTCGCCAAGGCATATGTCAAGGATCGGCGGCCATTTTGTCACCTCACCTCACAAGAAGTTTCAGAAGTCAAGAGTGGCGTACTATTCAAACTGTACGGCTTCCTTCAACCCGGTTGCTCTTTCTGTGGTTAGAAGTGGAGACATTCATCCTCATCCAGGACCTCACAGACAATGTAACTCAAGAAACCCTGGTCCACCATTGGGAAAGAATACTCTTAAAATATCTTCCTTTAACGCAAGAAGTATCGTCAATAAAAGACTGGAGCTTCAGAGTCATGTAGCGCTGATGAACCCCGACATAATTGCGATAACCGAAACATGGCTTCATGAGGGAATAGCCGACAACGAAATCCTTCCATCTTCATATAATGTTCTTCGAAATGACCGTGGAAGTAGGGGTGGCGGTGTACTTTTAGCCGTTAAATCTAATATATCATGCTCAAGACGTCCTGATTTGGAAGAAGATATTTGCGAACTCTTATGGGCCGAAATTCCACTGAAAA